GATAATATACAGAGTGTTTAAACAATTTTAACAAATAAATAAATTTCTTGTAAATTTTAAACTAGATGTGGCAATTCAGTTAACATAGAGCATAATATGTGAAACATAAAATGACACGATTATACAAATGTGGCAATAGCAATATCGCCATATTTGTGAAAATGTAGGCGTTTTTTTCTATTCACACTTTAAATATTTATCTTATTTTCTCTGCACGTAACTGAAAGTCTCGCACGGTTAAAAATAAACCTTGTCTTCTCTTCCTTTGTGCATATTTTTCCAGGATGTCATTTCCTGTCGCAGTTCGTGAATAGATTTCACTACTTTATCCAATTTTCCAAAAATGGGTGTGCTTCATGTCTCGCTTGTTGTTGAGAGAATCGAGGCTATAATCTTGATACAGTTGGTGTATTTCACGGACAAAGCGTCTAACCTTTGACTTTCCGCCATATGCGTGTGTGTGCTTCATTTTTGCGGAAAAGCAGCAAAGAACAAAGAGAGGTGCGTGGACGTGGAACATAAGGCCGAAGCGGTGTTTATGTTAAAATTTTATTGACCCTATTATGGTTCAGTGGTCGATGTATGTTTTTACAGCATGTGCTGCTGCAATTTGATACGTCTTCCCATATTTCTTCGGCTGGCAGCAACAGAGTGACTCCTTATTGCATTTTATTTAGATTTTTTTATACGATAATGCCTAAAAATTTTATTGTTCAATTAAGAAAATTTACAATCCAAAATTTAAAAAAAAGTATCAAACTAATATTTGTGATAGTAGCTGATTTCCATTAATATAGGTATGATGTTTTTCTATCAACTATAAAATAAAGAGAAACATAATATTCTCAAAATAATTAAAAGAGATTATTATAATTAATACATAGTTAAAAAAATAACACACCACTCTCTACCCAAATATCAAACGTTTTTTAAACACGACGCGTTTCAACTACAAAGTGGTCATCCTCAGAGAGAGAGAGAGAGAATTAACATTTAGGATAAGCATGGGCGCCTGCAGAAATTATGGTCAGGGAGGGCCCAAAAAAAGAGTCGAAATTACGTCCTATAATACAGAGTGTTTCATGTGACTTTACGAGGCCTGCGCCTGTAAGATGCAATCAATAATACATATTCCGATACGAACTCGATTACAAATTTTGAAAAATTGGATAATCCTCTCTAGTTTGTTCACCCTTTAAAAAATTACAACGTTTTTTGTTAGTTAGTGATTAAGATAGATAAACTAGAATCATATTCATGCCGTCTCTTGATAGAATAAATGATAATTGTTTCTGAAAAACTGCAGTTTATGACTATTAATGAAACAGTTTGACAAGTAGGTACTGTCATGGGTTACCAAAAATTAAATAGTTAAAAGTGTATTTTTTGTATCCAGTGTTTTCTGACTTTTGTATATTTAGGTGCATACATTAGGCGCAAGCCTCGTAAAGTTGTGTGAAACACCCTGTATTAACAGTTTCATTCGTCTGTTTTCATAACATTCACTTCGTGATAATTAGAAAAACATGTCAAAAACTTGCAAAAAAAATAATAATGACATAATTTTGTGTTTTTTGGTTTGTTTTAGAAAATTCTCGCAAAAAAACTAAAATTTTAGTTCAAAAAGACTTGAAATGTAAAGTAACATTATTTAAATAAATCTAAATTTAAATAAATTTAAATAAATAAGTCTCTAGTCTAAAAATAAAATAAATCGGGCAAAATAAGATGAAATTGGTATTATACCAATTTTAATCTACCTAATCTATTAAATTTCTAACCACTTTTAACAAATTTTTTCGAAAAAACTTTGTATTTATTTAAAAAACGTACGTAGATAAATACTGCAAAAGTATACAAAAATAACACAATTTTAAGCCTAATTTGGTAAAGATGTGGTTTGTGTTTAACGAAATATTGTAAAATATAAAATGATCCACAAGAATGAATCCGTTGTCGATCCTGACTCTAATTTTTAAAGGTTACCATATAATTAACACTAATTCAACAATCTTGAATGGTTGTAAGTACGTCAAGTATTTGTTAAACAAAACCGTATTCGGTTGTAGTGTTTCAAATTATTAACAAAAGTACTTTCAAGTTTGTTACCAACAGTTTTAGTCTTTCTGGATCACTTCGTATTTTGTCTTTGACTAGAAAACGTGATAAAACGCTCTGAAAAAGACCAAAATAATGAATTTTTCGTCCAAATTTATGATTTTTTGACTCTGTTGGGTGAAATCTCATAAAAGAATCAAATAAATATATTTTCTTATCTAATTTAGTAATTTTTTGACTTATTTGTGAGAAAGTTTGGCAAAATAATTGAGTTTTTGCCTAAAAAACTTTCAAAAAGGCTCCAAAATTGCAAAAAAATGGTGCCATTAATTTTGACCTAACTTACGTAAATATGTATAGTAGTAAATCTGGTAAATATTGATATAGAACTATATCGATAATTAAAAAATTAAATTTTATTTCTTGGCGATTAGACCAAAAAGTTAATTTTACTAAGTACGAGTAAACGAATACTTGATTAAAAAAATACATAATTTTAAATTTATTATTTTTTTGCTGTAATTGCAAAAAATTATTAGACACTAGCATTTCTATAAAAGATTTCACCAAATCACTAGCATGAAATTTACCAGATATGATGAAGTTTTAGGAAAGCTGGCGTCACTGTTAAGAATGACCACTTTGTGGTTGAAACATATCGTGTTTAAAAAACGATTGGTGTTTGAGTTATTTTTATTTACTACACAAAAAAATGCGAAAAAAATGAAATAAGATAATAATTATTTAGCTAATTAGTACAGAACAGAAACTACAGAGTATAAAGAATAGTGAGAGTTTTTTTAATAGAGATTAAGAATAAAGAGAATATTAATTAGAAAGGAGAGGAGAACAATATGTAGAGAAATTAAAAAAATAGAAGTAATAGAGATAAAAATAAAGTCTAGTAAACAGAGGAATCGAGAATATACCGGGTGGGGCATCCGTTACGCCCAAAAAGAAAATCCCCACTTCTAATTAAATAAAATTGTTGAATTTTTTTACACTTACCTGGGCATTAGTAAGGTACATTCTCTAATATTTTGGTAATTTTTCATTCACAAAAAAAAATAAAAAGTAATAAAAATGTTATTCTAATTTTTATACTGACCTACGCAGATTCACTTCCTACAATTGTTTACAAAATCAGAAAAAAACATACCAATTAGATTTTGAATTAAACGCAATTTTCCATCTTAACTTTGAAAATCATTTTTATTTATGACCTGCTACTTGAGACATCGTAAATTTAGGTGACAATTGGGAACTGCAATTGGGATAAGATTCCAAGGTCTACAACAAAAAGACCCTTTAAAGCGGTCGGCTACCAGTAAATGATTCTTTTGTTGGCAAATTATACCATTTTGTCATAAATCACGCGTCTGGTTTGTGTTTAAATAAAAAATATTTAAAAAGCAGAGAGAAATTATTAAGTCCAAAATCAAGAGGAAAATGAACTTTTCTTTCTACTGAGTTAGAATAATGAAGTTTTAATTATAGATTTGCTCGTTTCAGGTAAAGCAAAAAATGTTTTTCCTTTGCAGTTTTAGCATAAAATCAAAGATAAAAAAAATTCCTCTTATAAACTCAATCCGAGGACATACTGTAGAGTAGAAAGAATGGAGAGCAGGAAAAATAATAAAAAAAATAGAGAGAATCGAAAAAATCTTTATTAATTAAGAATAAACACATCATAGAGAATAAAAAGAACAGAGACTAGAGAGAATAGAAGAAGAGAGGAGAGAAGACAGAGAATTCAGAAGATAGAGCAAAAATAAATAAAAATTTTAACAATGTTTAAAAACAGTGAGTTTTTTTGAAGTTTGTATCACTTATTGACATTTCACATGATTAAACTTTTATTAAGCAAAAGATTTAAATAAAATATGAGAGAAAAATTAGTAGTAAAAATATCCTTTTTTAAAACACTAAATACAAAATAAAGGGATTGCCACCATAGATCATTCCTCTTTTCACCGTTATTTAAAAATCTTTTATCACCCAAAGGCATACAAGGCATCTAACTGCGATCATAAATTTGCATTTGTCTGCTGTCGTGTGCAAAAAGGAAGCTTAAAGGCTTTTAATTGAGTTACTGTGTACTCTAGAAAAAACGCAAACAAGTATATAACGCAATTTACAGTGAATGTGTTTAGTTGCACTATAGGAAAAGAGTTCGTTCATAAAAAGTCCTCTAACTAATTAATTGCTATCACAACGGTCGCGATGATGAGGCACGCTGTCACTATTAATTATCTCTAAACAATAAGTTCTTTCACCTTTGTTGTGTTTGTATCAATTAAATTTACAACTTTATAAATCCCAACAATGAAAGTTTTTCAAATATTGCTAGGTCAATAGCGAAAACAAGGAGTTTCAGGTTACAGTGACCGATCCTCCCACACATTTAACCTTGCCAAAATCCAAAATGAGTTGTTTTGGACATAAGAGAGAGAGAGAGAGAGAGAGATTACAGAAATTACGAAAAAATGCTATACCTTTTATTTAATTTTTTTTATAAAAAATTGAAATTTTGCTATTTGTAGTAATTTAAGGAAGGACGCAGCTCATTGACATTTTCCCAGATGATTTTGGACTAATTAATTCTTGTAAAAATTACCGACAACTTAATTAACTTCCTGGAACTTGTCGAGTTCAGAAAAAAGGAAATTCCAACTCTCATATACTGTTCGATCGTAAAACTCAATAATTAGTAATTCCGTTTAATTAAGAGACCAAGAGATCATAGTAGGCCCGTAAACTGTCAATTTTGCCATCTATCATTCCCGTAGACACTCCTCTAGACGTTACAATTATAATGATTCGAGTCGGTTTTTCCCCCTTACTCTTGCTCCTATCGCCATCTTCCGTCTCACCTCCCGAAAGTAGCCGAAGAAGCACGTGTGTCGTCCGCAGTCGTTTGTTTCGCGCGATGTTAACTAGATGCGAGTTTACCTTTTGCCACCGCGAAATGTGAGCATGATTTTGGGCGCCGGAAGTTCCGGAAACGGCGGCAAAAGTCGCCTTGTTTTATGATGAACAAACAGAAATTCGTGTTAGGTAAACATTATTATCGTCGTAATCACTTTTGTTCGGTTTGGAAACAGTGGAGTTTTGTCATGAATGCAAATTAGTGGTCACGTGGGGTGTCGTTAAACGTCGGTTACCTCAAAAAGTGCGATTTTGTTTATTGCTAGAGTCAATAGATTGAGCAATTGTTTGTTGCAACCTCAGTTTTTGCATGTTCTTGGGTTTTGTTTTTTTTTGACAAATGGTTGGTGGTTGTGAAAATGGCTTACGTCATTTGGAGAGTTGTCATGAAAAAGTACTCGAAGATCAGGTTGGGATTAAATGGTTCAGCGGTAAGTCCCATGGTTGAAGGGTTATTAATAACCGGGTCTGTATACTTAGTCTAGTTTTAAATTGGGGTAAATTTTAACAGTCAAGGATGTTGTTGCAATGGATAGACTAAATATTTGATGTATAAATTTCAGACTTCAAATCGTAATAACAAAAAAAACAAACTAATTTAGAATTTACAAATTTGGAAATTGGTGAATATTCTTGTTTTGTTTTTGTTTTTATTTAATTTTATTGTTCATTGTTATGTTCATTAAAATTAGTTTATTCTACGTTTGAAGTATCTTGATTCTAGACATAGAAGAGATATATATATAAGCAGTGACGTTTCACCTGAAACACCCTGAACGAAAATTTTAGAATTTCAAAAAAGACGAAATTTAACGTTTTTTTATTGTAGTTTAGGAAATTACCAGAAATAGGTAACTGAATTTTACAACATTAAAGAGTTTGTCAAAATAACATGTTTTTACATCTACAATATGAAAATAAAGACATAAGATGTCTAATTTCATATCTTCTGTCTGTTTTATTCAGTGTTGCCAACTTAATTTTTAAATCATAGCTTACTCTGATCAGAAATTTATTTAAAAGCAGTCTTAAAGAATGTAAGCAGATATAAAACATGTCAAATTTCAATTTTTTGTTGCTGTTTTATTCAGTGTTGCCAACTTAAATTTTCAATCAAAGGCTATTCTGATCAGAAATTTAATTGAAAGTGTCACTTTTGGATACAGTTGGTGGCATTTTTTTCTCTAATTATCTCAATTAATTGATTTTGGTGATTTTATATGGTTTAGAAGTGGGTAAAGATAAAAAAATGTATTTTCGATTGTATTTTTACTGTTGCCAACTTAATTTTCTATTCACAGGCTGCCTCGGTTCAGAAATTAAATTAAAAGTATCAATGTTGAATACAGTTGGTGGCATTTGTTTCTCTAATCAGAGCTTACATAATTATACAAATTCAACTGATTTTAGTAATTTTATTTGGTTTTGTAGTGAGATAAGATAAAAAAAATGTATTTATTACATAAAAATAATAAGAAAATAATAATAATAAGGGAAATTTGATTTTTTTACGTTTTTTTTTATTTTTCCACTTTATTCGGTTTTACATGTCAGGTGGTAAATGCTACTTAACAATGCACAGTATTTAAATAAAGTAAATAAGTTTACAGCAAATTTACAAACACACGTTGCAAGTTTTTGTTAGAATAAGAATTTTTTTTAAAATAATTTTTAGTAGGTATTTGATTAAAAATTGGTATTTTTAAAAATATTTGTTAAACTTTAGTAATCCTTATTTTGTTGTCGAAATGACATATTTATAGCTAGACCCACTTTTTTTTAGGTCACTATATACCCTCTTTTTCATTCATGAAACCTCTATTTGGAACAAAATTGAAAAACTTGTGAAATGATTTTGTTAAATTTTTTTGACAATCGTGTCAAATTTTTCCAGTCTACTTTTACATAACCGAAATGAAATCGTGTCTAAATATTTATGCTTTATTAATAAATCGACGTTTCGTCAATGAACGAACCACCTTCAATTGTTTCGTAATAGGCGTAGCGGGACATGCCATAGCCAGCTTCCTTTTCCTTTTAAAATTAATTATTAAGGACTGTAATAAAGTCTTTTGTTGATTATTATCGCATTTTCGATCGAAGTGTTGCTAATTGAATATTATGTGTTTTTCCTATGTGCTCTACTGGTTTTAATAATTGTTCCAGATAAAGTATAAAATGAAGAAAGCGATCTATCTGGCACAATTAATGAATTAATCACGATAACAATTTAAACAATTCTCATTAGTTTGCGTCGGGTAAAAATTTCCTGTTTTTAATTACGCTAAATTGCATACTTTTTTCAAATTATGTAATTTGATAAAATTGCAACAAATTTTTGCTTTTCTAATGCGGACTGGTTTTGTGTTACTTATTATTTATCATTGCTATTAAATTACGGATCATTTTCCCTTCGATCAAACCACAAACGAGGGAAAGTTTTGGTTTTTCTATGCAAATTTTACAAAAGTATAAAATATTATTGCATTAATGAATCAACACTCAAATGCCGTTAAGAGTCATCATGCAATTGTAGAAATGCAACAAAATGGATTTTCTGATGTAAATTGCCTGCATTTAATTCCACTTGATTATTATCTCAAGAGAATTTTCAATTAAAAAGAGGTAGGTGAGAAGGTGTTAAAAATTTTATTACTTTGTTCACATATTTTTTTATTCAATTAATACTAAATTAATTTTTTTTTGATTTTTATTTAGATTTATATGAATAAATAATTTTAATAATTTTTAATATTTTATCGTATCATGATCTATTATGTTCGTTTAATACGTTCGTTTTATACGTTAGATACCAACTCAAAATATATTAGGTACAAAATCATAGTAAACATTCCATTGATCTTTCAGTTTTTGACACCGAATTTGACACATTGCCTCTCCTATTGTTGCAAATCTAAAATGTTTCCACCAGCATTTAACAAGGTAAGTAGATGATTTGAATACAGGGTGTTTCACGTAATTTTACGAGGCCTGCGCCTGTAAGATGCAATCAATAATACATATTCCGATACGAACTCGATTACAAATTTTGAAAAATTGAATAATCTTCTCTAGTTTATTCACCCTTTCAAAAATTACAAAGTTTTTAGTTAGTTAGTGATTAAGATAAATAAACTAGCTTCATACTCATGCCGTCTCTTGAAAAATTAAATAATTAAATGTGTATTTTTTGTATCAGTGTTCTGTGACTTTTGTATATTTGGGTGCGTACATTAAGCCTCGTAAAGTTATGTGAAACACCCTGTATAACTCGAATGTTAGCGATTTAAACCATCTCGGACGATGCGCAGGTGACTCGGATAGCCTCGTCACCTAGCATCGTCCTCGATTATTAGAAATCGCTTAATTGTTCTTGTTATATTAATAGCTATTATCTGTCTAGATAAAAACCTAAAATAAATAAAAATTAGTCTTTTTGTCAACACGCTCTTGTTAAATATGACAAAAAATAATATTGCGGTCTTTTTTAATAAACACTCTGTATGATAAGTCCAACATTATCATTCTTCGTTTTTTCATTCGTTTTTTCCAGTTTCTCTTACATTCTTCTTTTTCTTCTTCTCTCCACTTTTGTTATTTTATAGAGAGTTTTTAAAAATCAAACGTAATAATAACTAAATTAATCTCAAAATCTTGGGTTTTTGTTTTACAAAAAATATTACACTATTGGTGTAAAATTTCACGATTGGTTAACTTTCGAAAATTGTATTGTACAGGGTGTTTTAATTAAATTTTTACAGTTTATACCAGCTCATATAATTATAATTGTGTGATTTTTTAAGATTTTTAGTAAATTACATAAAAAGAGAAATGAAAAAGTTTAGTTTTTACTTATGATGTGTTCAAGTTTGTTGCAAAGCTTTTGAGGAGTACATTTTTTATGTTATTTAGTTTATTACAAATTTAAGAATAAAAAATTACATATTCAAGAAAATGGTGCCAGCAATAACAATCACTAAATTGTTGTTACTTTGCATTATTTTTTTTCCAAAATAAATAAATAAAACCTATAACAATTAGTAAAGTTATTTGTCCACTTATAAAGTAACGTTGGAAACGAAAGATGAAACTTTAGTTTAAAATTTGTTTGCAGAAAACAAATTATAGCAAACTTTCTTGTCCACTCGGAACTATTTTTCCCTTTGACGTAATTTCCCAGTCAAGGCTACAGAATTTATACTTGGGAGTGGACAATTAACGATGATTTCCGCTTTAATATTCTCAAGCCGTTATTATTGGTTACTTGCTTGCTAACCTGAATAATGTTCTCAAATTTGCAATATTTGAAATTTCTCCAAGGTCCAAATTCTATATCCTCAATTTTTGTTGGTTTAACATCAAGTGTCATTGCTCTTTAGTAACTTTGGAAACCTATCAATTAGCTAACCAGAAAATTAAATTTGCATTTTTGGTACATACACACCTGACGTCATTGTTTAAATAATTCATTATAATGTAAAATAAACAATATAGGTCTTGAAGTGTAGCCTTGAGGAACTCCTATTTTCTAACTGTCGTATCCAAAATTAGTGAAATGAATGAATGTATTGTATTAAAATTTTGTGTCGACTTTTCTGAAAAAAGTTTCAGTTTAGCATGAAAATCTACTTGATTGTCAGATTAGGTAAGGGGTCAGCCGTAAAAATAAACCAGAATAATAATGTGTCGCGGCCATGAACCATCCATATTGGCGTTTTATACCTCGAATGTGCAATAAAACTGCGTGAAATGAGCAAAGTACTTCTTGTTGCTCTACTCTAATTGGTGTCTCTAGGCTAGGAAAAATAGATTAAGCAATATAATAGTGTATAATGTTACGTTATCATCACGGTTTTTGAGACGGGAAAAATCTGTGTGAACGGTGTTGCACGTTCAACCTATTTATTTATAAATCAAAACACTCATTGATTCTCACAGATTCGTACTTTCTTAAGCATTACTCACTTCCAGGTCCGTCAATTCAACTCTTTTGCATACATTGTCATTTCCATATAGGTATGTTGTTTTTTGTGACGGGTCAATTAACAATATGTGCCTTGGCACACATTGCGCTTGCTTTGTTTCAGCTGCGGTTTCGATTTCTTTCCGTTTTCTCAGATAAATTGGGAAAATGGCTTTTTTGTTTATCGATCAAACGAGGTGCTTAACTATTTTCTCACACTAATTGTGGATAAGAAAGAAATTCAAAGGTTTCGACACGCTTATCACATGTGGAACGGATGCGAAATTGAAGATTTAGCGTGGGGAAGGAATGGTGCGAAAGTGAAGAGGTGGAGAGGTCACACAAGGGCGTTATTGAAGACTTTGTGGCACAAAAAGGCTTGATTTTGTCTTTTGTCGTGTTCTAAAAGTGTTTTTTTTTATAAAAAAGAGAATTAAAGGGCTACTGTTTTACTATTTTACTTTTATT